AGTCCATTTCCACACTGGTGTGGTTTAAACATAAAGTTTCCATAATGTCATTTTCTTAATAAAGTGAAAATTAAATTAATTATTTACAATAAATTAAGAATTGTAGATAAAAACATTTCTAACAATATCCTTACCTGCACAGCCACATGTAGGGCAATACTTATAATTTGGATTAAGTACCACATCTAAAAAAGTATTGTCTTAATCACATCTTAAAAAAATATTGTATTTTACTGAGAAAGCAATGATCAAAATTCTGGAAATGATTTCATTAAAAAATATTAAAATAACATTTATATGCAGGTTTTATGCCTTGTTTTAAAGCATTAAGCATTGAGCTATTTTCGTACTTTTTAAGCAATTTTAAGCAGTGAGCAATTTCAGTTAAGCAAATTTTTTTTTTAATTATTCTAATTTTATTAAATAAAAAATAAAAATTTCATGACCTCACAAAAAAGAGAAAAGAAGACAAAAAAAAAATAGCTTAATGCTCATGCACAAGGTTTGTATATGTAAGAAAGAAAACTAAGAAACCTTTTTTTTTCTAAAGCATTACCTTTTTTATTTATTTTATTTTCATTTAAACTTTTCCTGGAGTTTTCATGTGACATACTAGAATTCTTTATCATTTCTGAAAATAATAACTTTTTTGAATAATAAAAATTCCTTTAACACATTTTTGTGTATGCAACAATAAGGGTTATTTGTAATTATAATGATTTTATTTTTGGATTAAAGAAAACATACCGTTTCGTTTCCCTGGTTTACATTTAGAGGTCAATATTTTCTTTATTTTCGAAGATGAGGACAAAGAATCATCAGATTCTTTATCACGACACGACGATCGCTTTTTCTTTACTTCAAAGGAAACAAAAGACTCTTTTGAAATATCACTATCCCCACTGCTTTCAATACAATGATCTAAAACAGACAAGATATAGATATCTATAAATAATTTCATTAAAAAAATATTAAAATATTATTTATATATAAACTAAGAAATATATTGCATTACCTTTTTTATATATTTTGTCTTCGTTTAAATTTTTCCTGGAGTCTTCATGTGATATACCAGAAGTCTTTATCATTTCTGAAAATAATAAACTTTTTGAATAATAAAAATTCCTTCCACACATTTATGTGTATGCAACAATAAGGGTTATTTGTAATTATAATTTTTTTTCGATTAAAGAAAACATACGGTTTTTTCTCTCTGGGTTACATTTATAGGTCTTTATTTTAAGAGATGAGGACAAAGAATCATTAGATTCTTCATCACGACATGACGATCGCCTTTTCTTTACTTTAAAGGAAACAAAGGACTCATGCTCTAAAACAGATCAGATATAGATATCATTAAAAACCCCAAAAAAAACAGTAATAAGATTAAATAAATCTATTGATTTTTTATCATGTTTTAAGATTTTTTTGGAATAAAAAAACTTATATAAACTTAAAGTCATACCTTTAAACGAAGAGATATTTTTTAAAGATGCTTTAAGCTCAGAGTTGCTTAATTTAACAAGAGCAGATTCTTCTTATGAACTGTTTAAATCTTCAAAATTACTGCTCTGAACTACCACTTCAGAGCATGCCCTAATCATACGTCGCAATCCTTGTTCATAGCTTTCTATAATGTAAGTAAATATCTTTATATATGACAATATTTAAGTTATAATGCATTTACAATTGAAAACACAAAGACTTTCATTACATACTCGCTTCTTTAATTAAAACAATTTCAAAACTCTTTCACAAAACTCCTGGTATCAATTACATTTTACTCATTTTTTCTAGCGCATGATATTCGTTTTCAGATGGGTATTTACAGAATAATTTGTCTTTTTCATAATACATCAATAAAATATTAATGACATCAATACATTCTTTTCCATGCTTTTTTTTCCATGTTTTTTCAAGGAATTTAACTACAACATGAGTAGTACTTGCCAGATGATTCATATTAATGAAATACCTTATAAAAATAGCATATTAAATTTACAATTACTTTTACCAAATAATGAAGAATTAAATTACTTTGAATAATGATTATTTCAGACTAAAATAAACTTTATTAAATCTGAAAAAAAAAATCTAAAGGTAAAATATTTCAAAGCAAATATTTATAATGCTATCCAAATAAAGATATATTTATAACGCTACTCGTAATATAGATATTCAAATAACAAACTTCTATTGTATGTTACATTGAACATTCTAGTATTCTACAATAATAATTGATGGAATTATAAAGTCAACAAATGTATTTTAAATCTGTTTTTCATGAATCATGAAGGTAAGTTATGGCAAATGTATTACTGTTGATTTCAAACAAAACACATTTTTTAAAAATATTTTTCAAAGAAAAAAAAATATTTTTAATAGATGAATCGGAAGATGAATCAAATTTAAATAGAAAACTATTATCATATAATAAGATTATACTATAATCAAAAAAATAAGATTACAATTATGTAATCTTTATAAAAAATTTATAAAAAAATATAAAATATAAAAATTTTAGGAAAGTAATAAACAAAAAAAAGAAGAAAGAACAGTATAATAAAAAGTATAAATAAAGTTACAAGGATAACAATCTTGCTCTACACACCGCTAAGTAACACCACTATTAAAACATAGAATGAACAGATTATAAATATATATAAACTTTAAACATATATTGTATAAACACAATTTATAAACTGTAAACATATTCCAGTTTCTTTAAAACTGTTGACTAATGATTAACATGTGATACATATGTAAACATACTTAATGGTCTTCCATAAAGTACGTACGCAGGTATAACTTGTACATGGGAAAGAAAGAAAGAGAGAAAGAGAGAGAGAGAGAGAGAGAGAGAGAGAGAGAGAGAGAGAGAGAGAGAGAGAGAGAGAGAGGGAGAACCAGTACATATGATTTTTGACTATCTCTTGTCATGCATCTGTTTTTAAAAAATTTTTTTAAAACAAAAAATTTTTTTTAAGATAAAACATATAAAATAAAATAATTTTTTTTTAACAAAAGCAATGAGTTTAAAAAAATATTCTTATATTATGTAATATAGATATGTAAAATTAACTAAATGTTTTTTTGTTTTTAATGTTTTAAAAATTTTATGCGTTGGTAATAGAAGGGAATTAACTTTGTAATAAATGCTATGTGCACAGACAGAAAGAGAGGGGGAGTTGTTAAATGCATACATGTGCATATAAAGGGAAGGGGATCCTAAACCAGTGGTTTTACTGCAAACATACTTGACAGATGCCCACTTATTGAAAACTATAAATTAACAAAATCTAAAAAGACATTAGTGTATTTTTTTTAGTTTTAGTTTCATCTCACATCCCAGTAAGAAAAAGACGTCAAGCCGTAGTTGTAATTTGGGGGTAGGTACAATCGGCAGAGCAGAGCAGATTGGCAGATCATTGTAATGTTGATAGAGGCAGAGTAGATTATCCAATCAGCCGTTTTCTAATGTGTGATCTGCCAAATATTATTTGACAGATCACACATTATTCAAATATTATTTTGCAGATCACGCATTATCAAAATATAATTTTGCAGATCACAAAATAGAAAACGGCTGATTGTCTGTCTGTGATAATCTGATCTGCCGTTATTATTATTACAATGATCTGTTCTGCCAATCTGCTCTGCCGTTTGCATTATGATCTGCCAAAATATTTGGCAGATCACACATTAGAATACGGCAGATTACTTTTTTTTTTGGAAAAGTATTGCAACAACAAAAAACGTTTACGTTTGAAAAGTCAACTCATAGTTCTTTCTATTCGAAGTGCATCTTTTTTCATAAAAATATTTGGCAATCACATTATAAAAATTCTATTATATGATCTGCCGAATTATTTGGCAGATCACACATAAGGAAACGGCTGATTAAATAATCTGCTCTGCCGTTATTCACTTTTCAATGATCTGCTCTGCCAATCTGCTCTGCTCTGCCGATTGTACCTACCCGTAATTTGGTTGTATTTTGGTCGCGACGCAAGTTAATTAAATTCCAACGATGTTCCAACGTCGGCATAACGGTGTTGTTCTAACGTTTGCTATCAAACGTTGGAACAACGTCGGGAAAACGTTATCATCTAAAGTCTTGAATGCTAACATTAAAACGACGTTGGAACAACGTTGGTTGTTTAACGTAAAACCAACGTTAGTCTGATTAACGTTGGAACAACTTTGGAACAATGTTGCTTTTTTTTACGTTTTTACTTTTGACATCAAAGCAACGTCAGCTTTCTAACGTAAACTCAACTTGATTTTACGAACTTGCGCATTTTTAAAATGGTTGATAAATGTGGTAGTATATTCCATCCGACGAAATATTCCATCCTTTTGCGTAAAACTCAAAACGAGGATGTGTTTTTAAGTTATAGCCATTAGAATTGTTCCGATCATAGTTAATAGTATAATGTTTTGATTTTACGCATTGGGACAGAATGGAATAATCTACGATTACATTAGATTATTAATCTTGTTTTTTAATTGTTTTTTAATAAATTGCTACATATATTAATCGTATTTCTGGTAATACTGGTATATATGTGACCTTAAAAATAATTTATTTACTTTTATAAATAGTGTTAAGCTAAATCTGTGTTTCGTTTCATTTCGGACTCAGAAGGAACATTTCTAACAACTATAATTTAAATACACATCCTCGTTTTGAGTTTTGCGCAAAAGGATGGAATATTTTGTCGGATGGAATATACCTTCGACCATATAAACTGAGTTTATATGGTCCATATAAACTCAGTTTGCGATCATATAAACTCAGTTTATATGGTCGAAGGAATATACTACCACATAAACCGTTATCGAAAAAGATGTGGTTTTTAATCTGGTTTTTAGGCATTATATTCTGTGATAATAATAATTAATACATTATTTATTTAAATTCTACATTCGAATTAGATATTAAATTTTTATATTATTGATGATAAATAAAAGTTACAAAAACTTTATTTGATTTTCAAAAACTGTTGACATTTTTGTTATGTTTTTGTATACTTTGTATATTTAACATTACTTATATAGTAAAAATTTCTAACATATATAATATTTGCACATAATATTTTATTTACAAATAGATAATGCAATGATAGGTTTTTTAAATACCCGTTATTAAACTATTTAACAGTTTAATTAAATGCCAATAAAATTACAGAGCCTTTTTTTTATAACATTCAATTCAGTTGTCTAAGACAGTTGTAAGTTGTATTAAAACAAGGTTTTTACTTAATATACATAATATATTAAGTATAAATTTAAGACAATCAAGTTATATTAAGACAATGTCTTAATCATAATATATATTTTATTTATTTGAATGGAAAGTTTTTTATTTTGTTGTGGAACTAGACTAGATATTACCTAATAAGCATCTTATAACTTGTGTAATGTGTTTCTTTTACGAATTTGTATATTGGCATAATCATATCATGCTATTCCTACAATTATATAACTCACACTGACTCTCATAAGTTTGAGTCTCAAGTCACGAAAAAGGGTAAACAATTTTTAATATATTTGTATTAAATTATTTTTATTATTTTTTTTTGTTGTTGTTATTCACCTCTGGGTTACTACCAGGAACATGGTAAGGATAGAACTCATAACTTCTCACTATGAAGCAAGCGAAAAACATATCCTACATAAACAGCAACAGAACATCTAAATTTTAAACTAGATCTTAGTCATAATAAACAAAATATTTATTTAAATCAATACACACAAAGTGTTAGATGATATACACTCAGTCAGTATTTAATTTTCAAAATGAATCACAATCTCATGTTTCCCTAATTTCAGAGTTGAAAGAAAGAGCTGATTTTGGCTATAAAGGCCATAAACAGTGCTACAAATAAGTAGGCTCCTTTTTATTTCAATAAAGTACATGTCAAATATATTTGTGTGTAGTTTTTGTATATATTATGTGAAATGATATAGTTTTTAAAATTGATATGTTATACCAAAATACATACACACCCACATATATATATATATATATATATATATATATATATATATATATATATATATATATATATATATATATATATATATATATATATATATATATATATATAATAGTACTATCATTTACTTATTCTCTTATCTTTCTAACCGAAAAACTAATTAATCTTTTATTTTAATAAAACTCATGCCAAGTTAAAATATATTTTTTGAATGTTATTATTTTTCTTCAATTTTTACGTGCAGAGTTAAAGTACTAAGTTATCAAGGTGTTTAAAATCAGAACAAGTCAACTTAAATATACATAATCACTTTATTTAATCTTAAACTTAAACTTAACAATAGAATATTTGAACGAGTTTACACTAAGAATTGGTAACAAAGGTTTTGCTCAACAGTTTGTGAGTTTGATTTCAATATGTTTAACATGATTTAGAGAACAACACCTGGACAATATATTTTAACGCCCAGCTTTGAAACAACAAAAAATTTACAATCACTTTATTAAAATGAATCTAAATCATTTGCTGTTACAAATTATGTCATCCTATTTATTCAGCATATAAATATTTTTAAACATTTTAGATTGGTTGCAGCTATACAAAGTTGTGAAAAACAATATTGAATAATTCTAATTTTTTAAAATTTTATTTCCGTTACAAAATTTAGTGAGTAAAAATGTTTTATATTTATGAGTTTGCCATGATTGCTCTGATTGAATCATGGCAAAATACTTATTCAGTTCTTACTGTTTATTAAATAAGCTTGGGTCTTTAAGGCTTGACCTTGGTGAATACAGTAAAAAATATTTAAATAAGAACTTATGTGTAAAACACTTCAATGTGCCTTTTTTATATTTTTTTCTTTTTTAAGTTTTTTAGGTGGAAAGTTACCAAAATATGTTAAGGACTTAATTCAGAGGTAACTTTTGTATTTCTTCATTTATATTTTTATTTGTTTTATGTATATTCACTGAATATACAAATTTTGAATTTCAGAACATTGAAGGCATTATGAATAAATGCAAAGATTTTGTTAATTATTATTTTAATATTATTTTAAATGAGTATACATATTGCATGTGAATATTTATATAACACATTAGCAAACTAATACAAATGGCTATAAAAATGATATCAATAGAACATTTTGAAGTATTTTTATTATAAAAGTTTATTTCTTAAAAGTTAAAAAATGCTAATTTGAATTATGAAAATTGTCAAAATTTTTATAATATTTTTGTATTTATAATACTATAAAGTATCCATGTCAAAAGTATTAAAAATATTATTAACAATATATGAATAAATTGTTATAAGTAACTATAAATATATATATATATATATATATATATATATATATATATATATATATATATATATATATATATATATATATATATATGTATATATATATGTATGTATATATATGTATAAACATATATGATATCAATATATGTATATATGTATATATATATATATATATATATATATATATATATATATATATATATATATATATATATATATATATATGTATAAATATATATGATATCAATATATATATATATATATATATATATATATATATATATATATATATATATATATATATATATATATATATATATATATGTATGTATGTATGTATATATATGCATAAATATATATATGTATGTATATATATATATATATATATATATATATATATATATATATATGTATATATATATATATATATATATATATATATATATATATATATATATATATATATATATATATGTATATATATATGTATATATATATATATGATATCAATATATATATATATATATATATATGTATATATGTATATATATATATATATATATGTATATATATATATATATATATATATATATATATATATATATATATATATCAGGCTTGGTCGGGAAGCGGGGAGCGATCGCTCTCGATTGCTGACCACGTAAATAATATTTAGTTGCGAAAAGCTGGCCAGATTTTTTAGTCGTTTTGAGAACATTTTATAAAGCAAAAAAAAAAAAAGCGACGATTAATTGGACCGACGAGAGACAATTACAAAAAAAAAAAAGTAGGCAAATAAAATATCTTTAAACGCGAAAAAATTTAAAGCTAAATAAATTACATTTAAATCAAATATTTTCGAAACATCGCTCTTTTATAATTTTTTTTATAAAATTAAGCAATGTTTTTTATAGAAACATCAACTTTTTATAGAAACATACAACCGTCAACTTAAAAGATATTAAAAGGAAAACAAATATTCTTTATTTAACTAAGTTTGCAAGTTTTAGTTTTACTTAAGCTTAATTTATTTTATAAATAAAAAAGTTAATTTTTTCAATACCTATTTTATGTTTCGCGTTGTTTGAAAAGTTTAACATATTTAAAGCGATTCTTCTTAGTAAGATAAACAAATGAAATAATTAGATCATTGAATTACTATAAGAATTAAATTATCAAGATAGAAATCAACTAAAAAGGTTTAAAATACTTAATGACCAGGAAGCGAAACTGCTTCACAATATCGCTGATGATGTTTAGTGAGTGGGCTTTTAAATTTTAATTAGTGTTTAAAGCAGAAAAAAGTATAACGAGTTTTAAGAATGGCAACTTAAGCAAAAATAATTAGAGTTAGTAAATCAATATCTAGAAATTTTTCTTTATATCTAATTATTTGCTATATATATTTGTGTTCTGTCGTGACCTCTGGCGCGATGCTTGTTCATCCGCGAGTTACTTTGTATGCGTTGTTTGTGTTTAGTAACCAGAAACTTCTTATATGTTTGTTACATAATTAGTTTTATTAACTTTAACGATTAAAACTTCATTAAAAACACAATTATTTTTGTAAGTCTTTGTTTAAATCATAAAAATTGCTTTAAAAGATACATTACGATCAAAAATAAATACACAAAATTACATTTACTTAAAGAATACAATCTCTTTTAAAATAAAAAATAAGAATATACTAATAAAATCTATGATTTATAATAAACTTTGAAAATTTTAACAATTTAACTAATATATATTTAAAACATTTATTTTCGTAAACAAATAATATAAATTCTTAAAACAATGCTAAAAATCTCAAAACGTAACAAATCATGAATAATACAATTTCTAAAACAATTTAACAGAATACTCTAGAACTTTATTTCACTTAATCAGCGTACTTTTTGAACCAATAGAATTAGTTTGTTCGTTAATTTGGCGGGTTTTTAGTGTTTGCAAACATTCTTTTTATTCTTTCGCACAAAGATGTTTTGAGAACATTCAAGTTTTTTATGTTTCCATGTATGTCCGTAAAACAAAAATTTTTTTGTTTCGTTCAAAAACTTAAATGTTCTCAAAACGACTAAAAAACCTGGCCAGTTTTACGCAACTAAATATAATTTCCGTGGTCAGTATATATATACTGACCACGGAAATTATATTTAGTATATATATACACAGTCGTGGCCAAAAGTTTGGAATCGCCCAATATTTTTCAACAAAAACCATGTTTTTTCTAATTTATTGCATACAAATAAAGATAGTATAGCACCAATTCATATAATACTGCATATTAGACTAGAGTGTATAGCACCTACAATGTTGAACAAATCTTACAATATAAAAAGTTGCAAAAATTTAATATTTGGTAGGATAACCGCGGTTCTTTAATACAGCCGCAATTCGACGTGGCATGCTCCAAACAAGTTTTTTGAACAGTTCTGGTGTTATCTCTTTTGTCCAAACTTCCACTAGCTTCTTCTGTAAATCTTCAATATTCTGTGGGCTGTTACCCGGCCAGTCGAGAACGGATACCTTGTTTTTCTTGAAGAAGGCTACATCACCTTGGAAGTGTGGCATGGAGCATTGTCTTGCTGAAATATGGTTGTTCTATGTGACTCCATGCTTGGGAGCAGCTTTTCTTGTAGAATTCCCTAATAAATCTGGGAATTTACTCTCTGCCCCTTTGGTACAAAATGTAACTGGCCGCGAAATCGAGCTGAGAAGCAACCCCACACCATTATTGACGGTGGATGTTTTACAGTAGGCACAGTGTACTTCTGAACATACCTGGATCCTTGTGGTCTTCTAACATAATTACATGATGTCCCAAATTGTTCAAATGTGCTTTCATCAGAAAACATTACTTTCTCCCAGTCCTTCTCCTTTCAATGTTCGTGCTTTTTGCAGAAGTCCAACCTCCTCTAGCGTTGAGTATCATTCAAGGCTGGTTTCTTGGCAGGTCGTCAAGCAGGATGCTTCAGATCAATCTGCAGCACACGTCTGATCGTTCTTGTGCTTGGTAGACTTGCTTCAGCATTTCCAGGACTCAAATCATCTAGAATCCCATATGATGACAGCTTGGGATTATTCTCCACAATAAACTTGATGCGTCTTGTCAACCTTTCAGTCACTTTTTTTGGTCTGCCACTTCTCCCATGTGACGAAAATGTTCCACATTGTCGAATTCTACTTAATGTCTTACTAACACAAGTTTGTGATACATTTACAATTTTTGCAATATCTCTAGTTGAATTTTTTTGTTGAGCTAATATAAGAATTTGACCTCTAATAACTTCTGATAATTCCTTCTTTTTTCCCATTAAAATGATCAAAAAATGTAATTAAAACTGCTGCTTAGCTACCACAAATGGTTTAACTAAATACCAGAACAAAGACAACTAAATAGAATTAATATTTCTGACCAAGGTTCGACAAAAACACAAAAAAATGAAAAGTTCACATGTGATTCTAAACTTTTGGCCACGACTGTAAATATATATATATATATATATATATATATATATATATATATATATATATATATATATATATATATATATATATATATATATATATATATATATATATATATATATATATATATATATATATATATATATATACACACATTTTTATATAAAAATATATATAAGTTTATATATTTGTGCATACAGATAAACAAATATAAATTTATGATGATATCAAGATCAATTATATTGTGAAAGGCTAAATGTTTGATAAACAGTTTATTAGAAAATGATAATTATTGAAGTTTAATCAGTGATTTTTTCTTTAAGCCTATTCCAATAGTTTTTATATTTTTGAAAGTGATTCTATGTTATATTTTACTAAACTCTCTATAAAAAGTGCTCATTTAGTAAATCCTTTGATATTTGTCCTGATTTTTAATTTTTGACCTTGTTCAATGGCCAGTTAAACATTTAGTTGCACATTTTTCATTATATAATTTGCTTGTCTGAATGCAGCAACATGGGCATAGGAAATAAATGTTACTAAAACACCTAATCATGTGAATACTGAAAAATTATTGTAATTACATTTATCTTGGTTTTCACATCTAGCCATTGATATTAAAAGTATGCTCCATAATGATCACATGTGTATTAACCAATAATATTTTATATAAACTAGTTGTCTTACTTCAATCCAAAAAGTGAAGCCGCTTTTGTCCTTTTTACAAATGGCGGATTAAATTTGTAAACAAATACTATTTAACTATTTTTTTATATATAAAGTAAATATATTTTTATATATGTAATATATAAAAATATATTGATATTTTATAAAAATATAATAATATATTTTAAATCTATATATGTAATCTTTATATGTAAAAGTGTTAAGAGGAAATTAGAGTACTTGTAAAGTAATAATTTATGATTTCTAAATTTATTTTCGATTAAAAAGGTATTAAAATTTAAAATAGAAATAAACCTTAAATAAACCTTGATAAGTACTTTTTATTTATTATAACATGTTTTTGAATTATCTTTAATTTATAGGTTAATTTTGACTCGCATTTTGAACTTTTATTCCACACATTTGCTTCAGCTTTAACACTTTTTACAAATGGCAAATTATATTTTCAAGCAAAAAAAGCGATATCATTTTTTGTTTAATAAAGGAGCGCAAGTTTGACATCTAGTTTATATAATATATCATCTAGTTTATATTATATAGTTTGTTTTGGGATTGTCCGTCAATTATTGATATTTTGAAAAAACGAAGCCAGAGGTATGTGATTTGTCATATGTTCAAATTAATTATATTTCTGAAAAGTCTCATGACTTTTATTATTTATAAAAAATATAATTTGCCATTTGTAAAAAGTGTTAAAGCTGAAGCAAATGTGTGGAATAAAAGTTCAAAATGCAAGTCAAAATTAACCAATGGTAAAAAACCATCTGATTTTGTTAAAAACAGAAAGTCTAGATCACAGGCGGAGTTTTAAAAAATAAAAGGTTATACAGTTAATTTCTTTTGTATACTGGTCTCTATGCACTGAAGATACAAATTAAATTAGCAGAATCAATGCATTGGTTATGCATTGATGCTATTAAATTGGTTTGTATGACAGGATTATTAAGGCTGTGGATTATTATGGTCCAACATTCATAACATACAATTTACATAACCTTATTCATTTTTTATAGTTTTCTGAATGATTGCTTCTTGATATGTTTGCCTTTTTATTTAAAAAATTATTGGCTTTTGGTAAGAAGATGCCACTTGCTCAAATGGTCAAGGGTTTAAGTGAAATATAAGTAGTTCGGATTGGAAGAAAAAACACCTAACAAAGTAATCATTATCATTGATTCTTTGCTTAGTGAAAATGTACCATTTCAGTTTCTTTATTTACCATGCAATTCATGTTATAAAAAAAATATATGGCCAAAATAACACATGTTAAAAAATAACTTTCCAGAAATCTGAACTCAAAGATATTTTATATATTTTGAGGGTAAAACTAGACATTTTTTTTTTCCATTATTTCATGATTGTGTGTTTTAAATTAATTTTGTTTATTTATTCTATTAAAATTATTTTGGAGGCAATTTCATTAGTTTTGCATTTTATTGAGGTATTGTTTATTCTATTTCAGATAACGATTTGCAGTCGATAATCTTTCGAAAACAGAAAAACTCAAGTTAGCATCAAATAGAAAGTTATCGCAATTTCTGGTATTTGTGGTATTTCTATTTGTTTATTCCGAATGTTTTTTATTTAGTTCTTAAAAATGCTTTTAATTGGATTTGTTTGTAACTTTATGTTTCTTCATATATATTTGTCTTTTAGTGTCAAACAAAGAATACGCGAATTATTTGAGATATGATTGAAATTTGCAAAGAAAGTAAAAATCAAACTAGTTTCATTCTAAGTTATTGTATATAATTTTAAAATTTTGGAATAGAAGTGATGCAATGTTTATTTATTTTGAGTCTTTTAATTTCCGTATTCAATTATTTGCCCGGACTAGTATAATAATCGTGTATGACCTAAATAAATAAGAAGAAATATTGCTTGACAGCGCAAAGTTATACAGTGCAAAATTGTCCTTTATTGTTTTTTGCAGTGTAGAAATAACATCAAAAATGATAGAAAAACTATCATTTGGAGGGCGTTTTTCTTACAACGTTTCGCAACATTGTTAATATAACGTTGACCTACGTTTCATATATGCCATTATTCCAACGTGTAAAAAACGATAGAAAAGACGTTGGCTCAACGTCATTTTAGCTAAAATATAACGTTAGCCTAACGTCCTTATAACGTCTTTTTTCTTCAAATTTAACTTTGCTCTAACGTCTTTCCGACGTCATTTAGCTAAAATGTAACGTTGTCACCACGTCATTTTACATCGTTGTAATAACGTTAGTAAAATGACGTTTTTTCGGTGTTTCATTTATAACACCATGCCAACGTCTTTCCAACGATACGAAAGACGTTAGAACAACGTTGTTCCGACGTCATTTTTCTTATTGGGATCACTGTATTGGGTTCCAGGCAAAAGTAATAAAAAAGATCTGGTTTACCATACTTTTTATATTATATAAATCTTCTTATCAAAATTAAGTAAAATAAATCAATCAATATATTCAAAAAAAATTTATTTGATTAAAGTGATTTAAAGTAACTTAAAAGCACTTTAGTTCTTTGTAATTGCTCTGAAAAAGAAATATATATATATATATATACATATATATATTTTGACTCACAATTTACCAAGACAAAGATGAAAAAACTAATAACCTACACCAGTTTTTAATGAATAATAGTTGTTAATGAGAAATAGCTGCAGACCTCAATCGTGAATGCAAGTGAATTATACTGTTTTATGATAACGATAGTTAAATGTCGTAAAAGACGCATGTGCTAGAACATTAATATTCTGGCACATGTTTTTTCGAGGCACATATGCTAGAATATTAATTAAGACATGTGCTAGAATATGAATATTCTGGCACATTTTTTTTCTGAGTGCTAGAATATTAATTAAGACATGTGCTAGAGTATGATTATTCTGGCACATCTTTTTTCGAGGCCCGGTATTCGGTATTGCGCCAGCACTGCCCGTACGAAAATTTCCCATGGGAATTTTAGAAAAAAAAACCATGGAAAAACCATGGGTATTTGGAACAAGTTCCCATGAAAAAGCCATGAGTTTTCCATGGAAAAACCATGAGTTTTCAATGGAAAAACCATGAGTTTTCCATGGAAAAACCATGAGTTTTCCATGGAAAAACCATGAGTTTTCCATGGAAAAACCATGAGTTTTCCATGGAAAAACCATGAGTTTTCCATGGAAAAACCATGAGTTTTCATGGGAAACACATGAATTTCCCATGAAAAATCTTTAAGTTTTTCATGGAAAAGTGTTCCAAATACCATGGATATTCAATGATTTTCCATCCATGGAAAAACCATGGAATTTCCATAGGTATTAGGAACACCTTTCCAAGGAAAACTTATGGATTTTTCATGGTAAAAAAGCATGATTTGTTTTCAAGTTTTTTTATCTAATATTATTTGAATTGTCATATTAAATCATAAAAGCAAATTTTATCCCACTATTATTGAGTTCTCTTAATCTATGAGATCGCTTTCTCCAAATAAAATCAATAAACAAAATAAAATTTAAATCTTGTTAAATCCTACAAATCTTTGAAAAATAATAGCTATAATGCACCTAAAACATCAAAACTTGACTTCCCACAATATTTAATGCACGCATATGTATAACATACTGAAAATAAATAAAACAAAAAATTACAAGTAATATAATACTATAAGTGATATATATATAGTGATAAACAATTGAAATTTATCAAGAAAACAATTTTTACAGAAAATAAAACAATTTACATGTTTATTATTTTATATTAACTATTTGATAAAAATAGTATATATAAATTTGATATAAACTTCAAGTTTTAACAAGTTAAAAAGAACCATCAATACAACATATTTAATTCAAAAAAACATCAAGCCCATTTATAAATGCGTCTGTACTGTATCTGTAGAAACAGGTAGATGTTAAACAAAGTACCATTCACATATTAATATTCATTTTTTTTCACCCTAGTTAGTCTCATTCTCCATTTCACCAATCTAGACAATACATCATACAACTATTATATACATTCTAACTAGTTTTCTTTATTTACTAATTCATTTTACTTATAATTATTATCTATTATAACTTACTTTGTAATTAGGCATTATACACAATTATGAATGTTGCCAAATGTTAGGTAACATATAGAAAAAAGTAGCAATGAATATATCATTATTTATAAATACAAATTATTAGATTGTTACCTCTTTTTTGCCTAAGCTATCTGCATTATGTACAACATCGTTTATATTTCCAGTCAAACATTCCTGCCTATAATGTAACTTTATTAAAATGATTTATTCAAACTAATACATATATAAATGTTACCTGCATGTTAGAAACATTTATATAGAACAAGGCAGCAACAAATATTATATTATATATTTACTTTTGTAATTAAAAAAAAAAACTTACTTCTTCTTCTGAGCTATCTGCATGATGTACAACATCATTTACAAACCTGTTTTCTTCACGTCCTTCCATTTTTTAATATATTATAAAGCACAGGACTTGTTAATGAACGGCTAAATAAATAAATTAAAAATTTATATTTAAATGAAATGATAAGGTTAAAATGAAAAGATTTATACACATATATAAATTTTACCTGCATGTTAGTAACATTTGTATAGAATAAGGCAGCAACAAATAAAGTATAACTTATAAATTGTAATTTTAAGTAAAAACTTACTTCTTTGTCTGAGCTGTCTGCATGATGTACAACATTATTTATATTGTCAGTCAAACTTACCTGCTTATAATGCAGTAATTTAAATAAAATGATAAAGTTAAAATAAAAGAACTTACGCACATACCATTAAATTCAAAAATTTATTATATTTTTACTTCACTATTTAAAACATAACAAATATGTAATTTATAAAGTATAGTAATGTAAAAGCATAGTAAATATCAAAGTGTGTGCATAAATTAATTTATTTTAACTAAAGACGAGCACTTTACATCAGTTAAATATAAACAAATAAAAATAATTGTATTATAATAAATAATAGTGTATTATTTATAAACATTGCTTTTATATGCTTATATTTAACTATGAAGTAAAATCTTGTGCATTAAGTAAATTCCCTTACTGATACTTATAAAATATTACCACAGTTTTCCTTCTCCAACTAAGTGGTTCTTGGAACATCCATACAAGTTGAATCCCAAAGATTACGTTTATATCTTTTCTGGATTAAACTCAATTCACCATTTTATTTTGACAGCTTTTGAACTATTTTTAAAAATATTAAATGCATATAAAAACTGACGATGTTATAAACAATATAAACGATGAACAACATTATTTATATTGCCAGTCAAACCTGTTGGCTTATAATGTAGTAATTTAAATAAAATAATAAAGTAAATATAAAAGAATTTATAAACATTATTTATATTACATTATTTACATATTCTAATAATTCTAAAGAAAAAACTACAACAAAAAGACAAAAACAACTTAACAGAACTAAAATTGAATAGAACATTTATCATAAAAAAATGTTTTTTAATACTTAATGAACATTTACGATACAATAAACTTCAAGCATTTTTATGTAATCTAAGGCTATTATAAAAAAAAATAAAAAAGATCACACTAGTTATCTTTTGTACATTAGTTATCTAATCTTATTATCTTAGTTATCTAATCTTATCTAATATACTGCTTGTATAATAATATTTTAGATAAGTTTCTTTAATACGTTTGATAAGTTTTATAATAATAATTATACTAGTTTGAATGTACATTAAATTACACTATGTACATTAATACACTAGTTATTTAATGTAGATTAAAACTAAACATTTATTTGTTGTAAACCAAATAATAATTATTTGGCAAATAATTTGCCAAGTAGGCATTAAAATTCAAACTGGTTTACTTGACATACTTGCTATACTATTGCAAGTTATGCAAAGTAAGCAAAGCTACTGGAAACAGTTAAAATAAGTATATGCATAAATGATATATAATTAAATATAATTAAAAGTAATCCATTTTATAATGCATTATAATATGATAAATATATCTAGTTGTTTATGTCTGTATGTTTAGTTTAAATCATATAAATGTAATGCATTATAAAAAACATATAATTCATAGCCTTATTAAACACAGAAAAACAGAAGAATGCAGTAAGTATTGTTTTCTAAAGTTAAAAATAATCATAACTCTACGAGCTATGACGCCATCTTTAAAAGCGCATTTGTAACAACCATGGCGCAGCTTAAGCTATGAAAAAAAAAACATGGTTCACCCATGGAAATTCCATAGGATTTCAATTTTCATGAAATTTACCCATGGAAATTCCATAGAATTCCCGTTTTCCATGGGAAAACCATGGTTTACTCATGGAATTCCATGGGTTTTCCATGGAATATTTCCGTAAGGGTGGACTAAGGGATTACTTTCCGTACTAGTTTTTAGCACTGGCGCAGTAATGTCTAACATTTTAATCAGTACTTTGTCTGCGCAGGCCAGCCAACTATTGGACAGCCAATACTGGCGCAGTACTTCGTCTGTTGAAAGTAAAGGCAAATCACAAAAATTTCCGAATGGGGAGATGGTCAAGGAAAGCTCTGATGAAAACACTTAACCCTAAAACACAAAAGATTTTTTCAATCTTTAAGAAACTGATAGGCAATCTCATGAGTGTCACTTTTTTTGTAACCTGCAGCCTTTTAAGCTGGAGGCACAGATAGTTCTGTTCTAAAGCAGTCTCATAACTGTCAAAAAAATATAAAAAAGAGATGAAATCATATTAAACAATCAACATTTACTATATTAGAGTCAAATATAGCCGTTTAGA